GCCAACGACCGACCTTATCAAATCAGCACAGCTACTTCTTGCGAGCACAGACTCTCACGTCCAGGTAGCTGCCGTCAAGTCGGTCGAGCTGCGCGCGGGCACCGCCAAGCAGAACGACCGCAAATCTGTAGAGGCCCTGATCTCTTTCTTGCCTAGTGTTCAGGCTCTACTGGAACAATCACCTGACATGGATGCCAAGATGGTCTCTGTCAGCTGCATCGATCGCATCGTCGACCGCTTCGGGAAGAAGGACGTATCTGCTGTTGTATCAGTAGCTCAAGTTGTGTCCGGTCCCCAATCGCTTTCCAGCAGCGATGATCGCCTTCGCATCCTCTCCCTCCTCTGCCTCACATCTGTCGTTGACGTTCTCGAAGATGAGGCCATCTCGCTCCTCCCTACCGTGTTGCCAACAGCATTCCAATATCTATCGGATGCGATCGAAGAGGAAAAGACTGGTCTTCACAACGCTGTGTTTACCGTGCTTTCGAACATTGTCGAGCGCTTGGGCTACATGTTCTCGCGCGACTACTTGGACACCGCTCTTCGACTATGCCAACGCTCTGCCGCTGCCGATCTGCAACAGTCCTGCGACGAAAGCCGCAGCAGTTTCTTCCAGAGTGTATCTGAGCATCTCGGTGCTCAGGAAGTGTTCGCTGCTATCAAGTCAACGTGGCCACATGCCGCCTCTCAAGGCTTTGATGCGTCACTTGAGCAGCTTGAGCTTTTGCGCGCGACTGTCAACAATCAGACCAAGGCTAAGCTTGTCAAAGCCAGTCCGCCCCTCTTCACTCTACTTCTGCAAACTTTCCGACTACGTGAGACGGTCCAATCTACTACCGTCGAAGTTGATGAGGAGGAGCTGGAGCAGCTGGAGCTTACGCTTATTGACTCCGTCATCTCTATGGTACTGAAGCTCAGCGATGCTACATTCCGACCGTTCTTTGTTCAGCTTGTGGACCAGGAGGGCCCACTGTCGAGCAAGCCTCAACAGGCTGTCACCTTCTACAAGTTCCTCGGCGCCTTCTTCGACAAGTTCAAGGTACGTCTTGCTCTTTCATTCCCCATCAAAATATCACTAACACACAACTAGTCTCTTGTAACAAGCTATTCGAGCTACATCATCGAGCATGCCGCGAAGCTGCTGACTGAACTTGCTAAAGAAGACTCTGATGTTACCACACGCAGGGCTGTGCTTTACGCTCTCCAGAAGACATTCCAACACGATCAAGACGGCTTCTGGCAAGCGCCATCTCACTTTGGCGCCATTATGCCACCCCTGCTGTCCTTGCTCAGCCTACCATCTGCATCGACATCTACACCAGAGGACAACACCAATAACGTCATTCCTACCATCACCGAACTTGCTGTTGCATCTGCATCATCCATGGAGAACCATCGCGAGATGAACAGCATATTGCTGAAGAACATGAGGAGCGACGACAGGAACACTAGGTTAGCGACAGTGCTGTGTGAGCAGAGCTTGACGAGGAGATTAGGAGAAGAGTGGCTGGGTCTACTTCCTGAGATGCTGCCGTTCATCAGTGAGCTTATGGAAGACGACGATGAGATGGTCGAGAGGGAGTGCCAGAGGTGGAAGAATGGTATGGAGGAGATTTTGGGAGAGAGTTTGGAAGGCATGCTACAGTAGTTTGTTGCTGCATGTGTTTGGTATAGATTAGCAGCTCGATATGTATGGGCGAATACACGCATTCATTTGCTTGTCACTATGCACCGCTCCCCATCGCTCGTCTGATATTGCGCTATATCATCCATCACATGTCAATCTTACCATTCACCACTATTCACAAATGCTTTCACTCCTATATCGGGCAGATGCCACCAGTTTGCCCCAGAAGACTGCTGACGCGGTCAGTGCAGCTACCATGTGCTCTTCGCTGGGGCCTGGATAACGGGCACTCCCCTTCCGCATATAAATGACGGGTCCATCTCCCTATACCGCACCTGATTCCACTTTGCCTTGCATACCGCGTATCACACTCGCGGGAATACTTTATTGACTTCCGGCAACGTTGACATCAACATGCCTACCATCCCCACTGCGCTTCAAGCCCGATCGACAGCGCCTATGAATCCCGCTTCAGTAATGGCGCCGTCACCTAGCAAGAAGCGCAAGGCCGAAGAATCGAACCCGATCTCCAAGGGCGGCTCTGATATGGCGCAGCGCAGCGATCCATCCTTGACAGCTCCTACCAGCGACCATCTCCTTCCGAATGGGCACACAGACGTCCAGAAGACGCCGGCAAAGCGTCTGAAGACCACCCATGCGAAGCGCAATGTAGCTCCAGGTCCTGCCGCAAGCATCACGAGTCGCACTATAGCCTCTAGTAGTGTATCAGCTACTGGCGCAGTGCATGTCGCAACGAACGATAGGCCTACACAAAGCTCGATGACAATGTCGACAGAGTTGAGGGCTGCGAAGACCAAGGTTCACGACAGCGCTGTGTCAGGTACTGAAGACGTGTACATCATGGAGACGGAAGACGATACTGCTTCAGAGGAAGAGCCTTCTGCTTCGGAGGAAGAGTCTTATGCTTTCGAGGAAGAGGAGGATGGTGTAGAGGAAGAAGACGGCGCCGCGGTGGTTACGGAACAACTGCGCGCTCGAGCGACCGGTATGAAACTCCCTCGTCCTTGCCATAAGCGTTTCCAGCTGACATACACAGTCTTCAATCCACCACCTCGCCCAGCGATTACACCGTGGAATTACGATTTCCCAGCGCCGACACTCCCCTATCACGACCAATCCAGTTGTCCAGTCGATTGGAGTAAAGTCGTCATCGATTCCAAAGTTTCCAAAAGATGCGAAAAGGCCTATGAGCTACGTAGGCCATGGCAACAGGAGCCAGTCGCCTGGGACAAGATGGCAGAACTGGGCAATGTCAGTGCAGAGGGCGTACGTAAGCGTTTCGCGTCAGCCAACAAGGCAGTCTTTGAGCTCACGGGAGTTTACTTCGCCACGAGCCCCCTTGGGCTTGCCGAGTATGACATCCCCTTGTACGCAGAGCTGAAGCACTTCCTTCCAGATACAAGCGAAGCGTCTCCGGTTCTGAGCAAAGAACCTATCATCAACCCATTGTTCTACGAGGGTGAGGCTGTTCAGCTTGTGGTATTTCCGCCTGGACAAGATGTTGGCGTCAATCGCTGGGTAACGCAAGAGGTCATGGACCGGCTGCCGATCAACGACCAACACTTTCTTGAGTACTCTCTCGATAATTTCGATCGGTGGTACACTTCGGTTTTTCTAGGTCGTCGTCACACTTTCCCGAGACGCGTATACCGCCTGGAGCCATATGATGACACAAGCTTCATTCACCGCGATAACGGCACACCGTCCATCGCGATGAGCGATTTGTTCGAGACATACCGGCTCTCCCAAGCGATGGGGACTACGGAGTTCAGCGATATGATTCTTGACGAAATTGTCTTGTCTTTCGAGCAAGAAATCGAGCTTGTCAACAAACACAAAGAGGGGAATGTCACCATGCAGGATTGCGACAGCACCATCCAGTTCATGAGCTTTGGAATTGGCGACATCAACCTACTGTGGGAGCACACCAAGGCCAATGATAAGATCCGTATGGTAGTGCTCGAGTCATTGTTTGACCAAGTCGAACTGTTACGAGATAAGGTGGAAAAGCAAAAGCGTCATCTGACCAGGGATTTCGTGATAGACTGGTGCTTCCACACCATTCTCTTAATGATGGCCGGGCCTTGCGACATTGTCCAGAGGTTCAGACGGGGCGAGGGAAATCTCCAAGATTTCTGCGCCCGGTACCACGACCATGGGAACTCTAAGTCTGAGTGTTTCCGCGCCAAACCTGAGTCCTCCAAACTCATTCCCGAGGAGACTGACGAACCCAGGATCATCAAAGTTCGCTTCGGTACTGTGGATCTGGAGATCGAGGATCGCGCTAGCTATGCCGGGGTCATCTTCCGCTTTGAGCGTCTAGTAGAGGACAAATCGGAGTGGGACTGGCTGCGCATACGCTCCATCGCCACGTTCGTTGAAGGCCCTCTAGTTCCTGATGCTCGCCGCAGGAAGTGGCACCTGGAGCCGATCTATTATGAGCTGGATACCATCGATGCCCATGGCCGATACCCTTGCCATCCAGGTTATCAGAACCAGGATTGGACACATCCGGTTGGAGAGCCAGATGTCTACGACGAGCCATGGGGGAAGGTCATCAGGCGCGAAGTCCCCGCGGGCGCGACCAAGTACCGCGAGACCAAGATACCCGCTGGCAAGGACGAGCATGGGAAGATAATTTTCAAGGTGACAGAAGTCTTCTTTGAGATTGAAGACCCGCGTTGGTACCCTCCTAATGACTGGAATGCGGACATGGACCCTTGCGATTTTTGGCCCCAGGAGCTCAGGGAGTATCGGAGGTGGCTCTGGGTTGAAGAAGGAGGGACGATCCCGCGGATTGAGGTTCAGCGGTTTCGACCTTATGCAGACGACACTCGTCATTGGAAAGAGCCTTTTGTGGATCGGATGAACAAGTTGAGCGTTTTTGACATCCTTAATTGATGTCTCGCCTGCCATTTCGTCAATATCCTGTATTGCTCGACATAATGGTAACCCAAATCAGTGTCAGCTTGTCCAAACCAATGGAACGGAATGTTGCTCTGTGCCAGTAGGAGATGAATACAACATTGACTGTAGTTGAGTGCCTCGTCACTAGTTGGACTATCAGAAGCCTGTGATGTTATCGTGCGGTAGATGCATGATTGGGTAGACCCTGGTCGCTCAATATGCGAGTGCACTGTACACCACTCCCTCGAATGGCCCAACGTCCCAGAATCCACTGTACTGGAACCTTTAGAAGGGAGTTGTCTTGGACGAGACTGCTTGGGTCCCGGCACTTGTGCGCCCCACATAGATGACTGCACAGGTCTCTCCATAGATATTCATCTGGTCTGAACGACGGTCGTCCTGTTGACTGGTCTGCAAAAGAAATCTGCTCCGCCGTCTAATCATCATGAAGAACTCGATCCTCGTAGCGGCCACGCTCATCAGTGCGGCGCTAGGTCAAAATGTCAGTCGCGGCGCTGCGATGATGCGCTTCGCATGTTCTCAACTCACCGTCGAGCGGCTAGACCCCTTGGTCAACCCTGGAGTCGTTGGAAGTCCGCATACGCACCAAATCGTCGGAGGGAACAGCTTTCAGGCTGAAATGAAGCCTGTGGAGTATGATCTGGTCGAGAAGAGTACTTGTACTACGTGTACTTTCAGCGAAGACTTCAGGTATGCCATGAGGCGCCTAGCTGTAGCGGAGTCATAGCTGACGGAACTTAGCAACTACTGGACTGCAGCGTTGTACTACCGCGCCTCTCAAAATGGCACCTACAAACGTGTCCAACAGTTCCCCAATCTTGGGCTAAACCAGAGAGGCGGTATGACAGTGTACTACATACCTCCATATGATGGCTTCAGCAACGTGACTGCGTTCAGACCCGTCCGTCCTCCACTCTTGAGGGCGAGAGACTTCGCTTTCCTTCCAATGAGCGGTGTTGCTGACTTCTCATTAGGGTTTTCGCATGCTCGCTGGTAACCCAATTCTTCGCAATACCACTGGCGAGTCCCGCGGTATCTGCCATCGCTGCATTTACAAGGACTCACAGCCCTTTGGTGGCGCTCCGTGTACAGGAGAAGATACAACATTCCTCCCCAACCGCATGTGCGAAGGTGGCATTCGTACCCAAGTCACCTTCCCTACATGCTGGGACGGCGTCAACCTCGACTCGCCAGATCACCAGAGCCACGTCGCATATGCAGAGATCCCGTATGAGCCATACTTCCCGCCCATGGCTACATTTCCGTATACACCCGAGCAGCAGAGGGGCAAGTGTCCAGAGGGCTATCCCGTGCAGCTTCCGCAAATCATGTATGAGGTCATGTTCGACACGACCCCATTCAATACTCCTGAGCTGTGGGGCGAGGAGGGGACACAGCCATTTGTGTTCAGTATGGGCGATGCGTGAGACCCCCTCTTCCCGTTGGAACGCGTGAAGGACCGTAATCATGCTAACGACTGATTGTAGGACCGGCCATGGTAACCATGGTGATTATATGTTCGGTTGGAAGGGCGATGCGCTGCAACGAGCGCTGGACGCACGGTGCAGTAACGATCAATGTAGCGAGTTGGCTAGGCAGAGCGACGAAGACGCGATGAAGTGCAGTATTCCGCAGACGGTGGTTGAGGATGTCGACGGGTCTGAGACTTGTAAGCGCAATACTAGACACTCAAGGCACGATGCTAACTTACTGAGCAGGGTTGAAGAGCTTACCTGGTGGAGTGCAGATCAACGATGGCATGTAGAGGTCCTGTTGGCATTGAGCCAGGTGGTGTGGTAGGTGTCGAGATTCCAGTGGCACATGGAGCGACTATGTAGGCTGGCCACTGATGTGGCTACGCTCCTTCAGCTCCTTGACTGATGACAAAATAAATCCTTCTTCCTCAAGATACCAGACGAGCCAGAGTCCTCGATGAAGATACGTTGTTCGCGTTGCTGGCGTCGTGAAGAGCGCTGAACAGCATGATCGGTTTAACGATGGCTGCAAGGCCTGGGCGAGGAAGACAGAGGAGGTATCGTGTGTGACAAAACACAGAGAGGATATAGCATTATTGAAGCCGTGGGCAGCGGAGTAACGCGACGCGACGTATATCCATGGATGACGCAGGTACGCGATTTGACCTAACCGAAAAGATGTTAGCTCGCGTGCCGGCTCAGTCTTCCAAATCTACGCGTCGCACCTCAACCTCCTTACCCAGGAGCCTCTAACGAATTGGCGTTGTAATACTCAACTCCTCAAAGATCAAATACATAATCTGGCTTTACGCAGTAAGTCACTTGCAACAATCACACTCCCCCAAACGCGCAGTTGTTCGAGAAGCTCAAGTAAACATTGATGGTATTGCGGCTTATGTGCAGGCTCAAGCTATCTACAAGACGACCTTGTTGGGCGCTTCCTGCTCCTCTGGCTCATCAAAGATGTTGATGCTCCATCTAGGCTTGTTCGCCGTGTAGGGAACATTGTACCTTCTCCTTCCCTGGTGCTCATCCGAGAATTTGGTAATAGCCTTGATGTCTTCGTCGTCCAGCTCGATCTCCTTGAAGTTCTCAGCAATGCGCGACGGAGTAACAGACTTGGGAATGACAGAGTGGCCGCCGACTTGAGACCATGCCAGGATGACCTGTGCGGGTGTGGCGCCCTTCTTCTCCGCAATTGCTTTGATCTCAGGGCGGTGGATGAGCAATGGGATGTCGAAGAAGTTGTTGCCAAAGGCGGAGTACGCGGTGATGTGGATGTTCTTCTCCTTGGCGTAAGCGACGAGCTCCTTGCTGGGGAGGATGGGGTGACGCTCGATTTGGTTGACGGCAGGCACGAGGCCAGTCTTCTCAACCAAAGCCTTCAAGGTTTGGTATGTGAAGTTGGAGACGCCGACCGAGCGGACTTTGCTCTTTGGCAGCTTGTTCATGGCCTTCCATGTCTCGCTGTTAGGGACGGAGTTGTCGATGTTAACCTCATTGGGGTCAGAAGTCATGGGGAACAGATCCGAGTGAGGGTTCTTTCCAGGCCCGAAGTTGACAGGCCAGTGAATGAGGTACAGGTCGAGATACTCCAGCTCAAGTTCAGCGAGAGTGTCATCGAGAGCTGCCTCTACAGTGGCAGGATCATGCTGAGAGTTCCACAGTTTTCCCGTGATGAAGATGTCCTCACGCTTCAGACCTGGGATGTCCTTGTATGCGCGCTTGATGCCCTGCGCAACTTCCTTTTGGTTCTCGTAGCTGTGATTGGTGGAATATCTCGTCAGCTTGTGTTCTCGGGAATGCTAGTGGGGTATGGTCATAGCTTCCTAAGCTTCCATCTCCACTGAGGGGCATTGCAGTTGGACTTCCACCAACGCTGACGAAAAATTGTTCCACGTCAGGTGGGAGCAAGCCCGAAGTGAGATGGGTGAAAACGGGATTGTGAGTGTGAGTTGTGATGGTGGGCATACATCTTTGCAAGATCCTAATTTGATCGAGTTAGCCGTTGAAACGGAAAACAATTGTCATCCAAAAGATGGAGTAAACGGTTCCAGGGTCTTCAGGGTCTCGGAGACTTACCAAGTGACGGTATCCGATCTTTAGTGCCTCGTAGACACCGTTGCCGACCTCACCTGGAGCGGCTTGCCATGTACCGTATCCCAATTGACTAAAGCGACGTCAGAACAACGAATCATCATAAGCACAGGCTGGAACAACATACGGGATCTTGTAGCCAGAGCTAAGGGTGACGGTCTTGCCTGAAGACATCCTGAATGATACTTGAAGTTTGAATGCTGGGAATGAATAACGTGGGGTGGGTGATTTGATCAAGGAAGGCAGAATTGCCCTCTTTAAATATCGCATCTCGAGCGCTCTCGGCCATCGTGTCGGCCGGGAGGGTTTATGTATGTCTTGCAGAAATTACTCCAGGACGTGGGATGTCGGACGTACACAGCAAGGCACAGCACCATGTTGGCTGGGCTGGCGGGAGAATTACTTGCTCTCGCGACGAAGATGCACCCCGCTATCGTGATTTGGGAGGACTACCTTGCAGCTGCGCCTTGGTGGGGCGAACCTTTCGGTTGTAATGCCACCGAGACTTCGATGGGCTGACGAGATGCTCCGCGTCTCATCTTGGCTGCGAGAGAACAAAGTAACACGTTTCTTTTTGCCAGATCCCGCAACAACGTCGATGTAGGCCTAGGGGTATACGTACGCAATGACTTCTTCTCAGCGTTTTATCAACGTCCCAAATCGACAACATCTTCAAGCAGAACTATCTTCCTCTTGCTAATCACTTTCGAACGAGCCGCCTTCATCTGCCTGGATGAAATCTGCGTCCGATCGAAGAAAGATGTATTATATGATGTTACTCGGAATTGGCCCCAACGCTGCCATGTATATGAGATAGTGAGCTGTACTTCAGGTACCGGCATGCCGATCGAGAGCTGAAGGCAGACGATATCTGATCCTTGTTCGTGATGCTGCGGACATGTGATTGCCAGCGAGGAAATGCGAAGCGACACAGCATAGCTGGGCTGCTTGCAGTATAGAGCAAGCTCTTCGATCTCCCTCACATTGACAAGCATAGCCTTCAATGCGGTCGGTGCTGCTCGCCGTTGGAAAGTTATCGAAGTGGCGGCATGGACAAAGGGCTCATCCTACTCAGGAGAAGAACGAAACGCGTTGCCTTGAGAACTCTTGTCATATGATTTGGTGGCCTCGACGCAAATGCCGGAACGTTAACCTTTCAACCTGTTCATGCTGTCGGCTGCAAGGTTCGGTTCATTTTCTTCGTCGTGTGAGATGGTTGGATAGTCGTCGATGTGGCAGCGGCGTGGAGAAAGGGCCGGTGATAAGTTGGCGGGCGACTAGGGCGGCACCCCGCAGCGCATCTTGAGCTCGACTGGACCGTTATCGCACTCTTCTCCACTCCACGCGCCCTTTGAGGCGATAACATCGGCCTGATCGCGGTCGTCTGAAGTATAACAACGGCGCATCCAAGAGCTTCGACTCAAGGCCATCTTTGATCCATTGCAACTTACACTGCCTACTTACACACAGCTAGACCCCATCGCATCGCATCGCATCGCATTCCAATATGGCACCCTCCGCTATCCAGGTCGAGCCAGCGCCAGTCGCGCAACCCAAGCAGCTCGTCCCACGATCCAAAGATGACGCGACCAAGGAGTTGACGCCGTTGCAAGCCATCTCGCAGGGCGTCTGCCTCCCCGGCATCCCTCTCTTCTCCTCGTACGATAAGCAACGCGCATGGATACTATCGCACATGGCGGGTGCTTTTCGCGTCTTTGCAAGGCACGGCCTGACCGAAGGCATGTCGGGTCACATCTCAGTGAGAGACCCAGAGCACCCGCACAACTTCTGGACAAACCCGCTCGGAAAGCACTTCGGTCTCCTGAAGGCATCCGATATGGTCCTTGTTGATTACGATGGCAAGGTAGTGGGAGGAAACCAGAGCAGACCTGCAAACGCAGCTGGCTTCCTTATCCACTCGGCAATACACAAGGCGCGGCCAGACGTCAACGCGGCATGCCATTGCCATGGAAAGGCAGGCAAAGCGTGGAGCGCCTTCGCGAAGCCATTGGAGATGCTGAATCAAGACGTATGCTACTTCTACGGCGATGCGCAAGCCGTCTATGATGACTTTGGCGGCGTTGTCCTCGATGAAGCAGAGGGCAAGAGGCTGGCAGCGGCATTGGGACCAAAGGGAAAAGGCCTGGTGCTACGAAACCACGGCCTCTTGGTACGTCCCTCAGTGCGCGATACCGCGACCGGCATTCAGCTAATACCACACAGACGGTAGGAGGTACCGTCGACGAAGCCGCCTTCTTGTACACCCTCATGGAACGCTCTTGCGATGTCCAGTTAAAGATAGAAGCGGCAGCGGCCAACGGCGTCCCGAAGGTCTACGTCGACGACGATGCAGCGGCATATACATACAAAATGGGGGCCGATGCTGAGAGCCTATACTGGGAGTTTCAACCTGATCTGGAGTACGAGTACGAGATGAGCAATGGAGCCTTTAAGCATCCCGAATGCGACGAGGTAGTGTGGCCTGGGTACTGATTGCTAGGAATGGATTCGTTCACCTCGTACAACGAAGAAACTGAGTAACTGTGCTGCGGTCCACATTAGTTCGCAAACATAACGTGACACAACCCTAAGGCAATGTAGACTTCTAGGTCATCCATGTTATGTGGGTGTTCACTTGTTTCATGGATTGGTTGTTAAAGTTAGTTATGCATTGTCGTCGATGCGGAGGAGCCGGATGCAATGTTCTCACACCACTCGGTCTCCTCTCAATATACTCAGCATCGTGCCGTCATGCATCAAGTCATTTCTCTCGACTGCGCGTCCCGCCTCATGTCTAGTACGCACTGAATCCAAGCAGCTCGCTCCCTTGGCAAGTTTGGACACTATACACGCCAAGGCTGTAGCAGAAACAGCTTGATGACTGAACAGAGAGCTTTCGTCGGCCCGCTTCTGTTTCGTCGACGTATCCGGGTCGACAGCGGAGATTTTCACAGATCCAGCAATGCGCCGCTTTGGCGGTCGTGTTTCCCTGATTGTGGCACGCCTTCGATGAGTAGCGGCGGCGCTGCACGGCGGTATCGATCTGCGTGCAAGCTAACGATGGGTGATGTTGTACAACGTAATGGAAGGGTCTAGGTCTGGGTATTCAGGCGGATCTGTGGGACCTGCAGGAACTACTCCCACGTTCTTTGATCTACACAATCGAACGTTATGTTCGACTTCAGGGTCTGTGGCTTCCTGGTCGTCGCATCATGCTTATGCCACGCGTCAAGAGCTCTTAAGCAGCGGAAAGGTTTTGCTTTGACGTTCCCGCGACGGGCCGACTGCTACGTCCGTACTGCGTGTCATCATTTAAGCAACTCGACCTCTCCCGGCCGTTCTTGTCCGCTGAGCTTATTACAGTATACGGTAGTCATGGTTCTCCACGCCAAGTCTCATCTTGTCGGAATCCCCAGTATCAATGCATTGGGTAGAAGCCGCGCGACCGTTTCTCGCCAAGATCGCCGGGTTAACTCGAGATAGCAAAGAGCGATCTCGCCCCTGCGCTATCGCCTTCGGTCAACAAGCGTTTCTTGTCGGAAACAGGGTTCATGCTTGGCGTTCGAACTGCTACGAGGAATGGGCTGGATGTTTGGTTTCCAACATACAAGCGCGTGCCGTCTCCCAAGGAAACCAAGTGCATTTCCTAATGGTACTTACTGCGCAAGCAAAGAGGCTGCGCAACGGTAGTGAAAAGATAGGGCACTTGGCGATGGGAGACCTTCCATGGCGCACGAAAAGGGCATGTGTGAAGACTGCTTGGCGGAATTGAAGGACATGGCTGAGACCTTTGCTTGAAGGACTAGGGTAGTCGTTGTGAAGGCGGAGGAACATTCCATAATCCGGCCGCTGGACTATATATAAGATGTGCTCGCACGACGAGCAAGTTTCTCATCACAGCAGCCAATTCAGTCTTCCTACCAAGTCATCCGACACTCATATCACACAAAGACTAGCACCGCCACCATGCTGTTCCAATCCATCTTCCTCGCCGCCGCCACTCTAGCGCCCACAGCACTCAGCTGTCCCCAACACACCAACGCCAAACGCAATGTACACCTCACTACAAGACAGCAAGTGCCTCCAGGTACCAACGTAACCCAGAACGACTGGGCCTATGAAGCATCTTTCAACTGGGGAAAGATCAACCCCGACTACGAGCTCTGCCAGACTGGAACTCAGCAGTCTCCCATTGCACTCTCACTAGGCAACGGACTGGCTTTGAACCACGTGCCCACCTTCAAGTACAACGGCAGCATTGCCGGCAACTTCTACAACTGGGGTTACGGTCCCGCATTCACCGTTGCACACGACGAGAAGGAAGCAGAGGAAGACATTGACTGGACCAGCCACCCAAGCTTCACCTACGACAACGAGACCGTTTACCTCAAGGGCTGGCACATCCACGCTCCAGCCGACCATTCCGTCGGTGGCGACCGCAGCAAAGCCGAGCTCCATCTCGTCCACGTCGACGCTGAGGGTCACGAAGCCGCCGTCATGGCTATCCGCCTCGACCCTGGTAACTCCAACTCGACTTTCTTCGAGCAACTACCCGCCATGATTGGTTACACGGAGATGGGTGTTGAAGAACCTACTACTATGGACTTTGCTCCTCTGCTCGAGAGCGTCCTGTACTTCAACGAGTTCTGGACGTACCAGGGTAGCTTGACCAGCCCCCCTTGCACTGAGGGTATCCGTTGGTTCGTTGCTAGGCAGATTCTCTTCACTGGTGTTGATCAGATGAGGGCTATTCTTGGTGCTAGCACTTACTCTGCGAGAGCCGAGCAAGAAGTCTGGCAGCACAGGATCAACGAGTAGAGGGTCCGAGAAGATTATTGTCTCTGACGAATGATGAGGAACCTGGAGTTGGTGGTAGGGAAAGACATTGCATTGTATAAAAGGGCGATTACGAATGAGCGAGGCGTTGGTGCTGGGGCAGTTGATGGCCCACATTTGGCGGTTATCTTCTACAATTCTTCTTGTATATACATATACCTTTATCTCTTTCGGACGCATGAATCAACGAGTACATCTCTTCCGTCGAATTCTACCACGCGCAGTGCCCTGCATCGACCCTCAAGTCCTACACGTGACATGTTAGCCTCGCAATCCCGTCTTTTTTGATACTAGTCAAAGAATATCAGCTTACAGAACCAGTGACATAACTGCTTCCCTCACTCAGCAAGAACAGCACCGGCGCTCGAAACTCTTCGGGCACCGAAATTCGCCCCAGCATATTCTGTTTCGCCCACTCGTCCGTCAACCCCCTCTTCCGCGCTTCCGCGCTCAGAGGCGTGTCAATGTGACCGGGGCTGATGGTATTCACTCGGATCGGCGGATAAGCTTTTCGTGGCTCTTGGCTGGGATTTGGGTTTGTTGCCGTGACCGTGCTACCGGGAAAAGTGTTCTGTGGGTGACCCCATTCGGCGGCAAGCGATCGAGCAAGTTGATGCACTGCCGCTTTCGAAGCATTGTACGCGGCAGTGTTGATTCCGTGGTTAGAAATGTGACCCGATATCGAGGCGAATAGGACGATGCTTCCCGATTGCTTGGCGTTGTGCAATTCGTTCGCTACGGCACGGGCGATGAGGAAGGTGCCGGAGATATTAATATCGAGGATTGTACGAAACGTGTCGATGGGGTACGAACAAGCATCGCTTTCGCCGGAGATGGCGGCGCAGGAGACGAGCCCCCGGATCGGATGACGAAGCTTAGCACGGATGGTGTTGAAGGCTGATGTGATGCTGGGTTCATCCTGGACGTCGAGGCGTTGGAATAGCGCATGGGTGTGATTACCTCGCGCAACTTCCTGAATCCGATCTGGCCACAGTTATACAGGAGATCAAATTTGGAAGATTGCAGGCATTGTGTACCCCAGCTTTCGGGAGTGGGGTCGGAGACATCGACAAATACGACATCTGCGCCACTCTCTAGAATCGCTACACCTACGGCCGTACCTACTGCACCGGCACCTCCGGAAACTAGAAGACTGTGTCAGCTCCAGTCCATACGTCGATTGGTAAGCCGTACCTATGATAGTCCGGTCATTCAGCCTAAAAAGATCTTTCGTCGCCATATGAGTAGGTGGAGGATGTGTCATGGCAAGGTACAGAGTTAAAGATTATGTTGATGAGAAGATGGAATGGTTTGGCAGCGCAGTTCAAATGCGTCGAGCAGTTGCTATATTGTGAAGCGGGGTTATGACGTATGTAAAGCTGCAGGATAGGTTGTGCAAGATTCAACGCTGCTGACCATTAGGCCCGTGTCGCGCTTCCCATTGTATACAGACTTTTGTAGTTATGGAATATCAAGATCGATGGGTATAAAAGGGAAATGAGCAGTGTATGATTCCTCTAGCTCTGGATAGGTTCGTCCCATGGATTATATTGTGGTACCGGAAGCACCCTTCCATAACAAAGACACCATGTCAAGTTCTATCGCCGTCATCTTTCGGACGCGGAAGGAGCCAGGCTACGTGAGAGCTGGCAAGGTTCCGAATCTTACTCCTAGAACGCGTACCATGGTGTGGCCTTGAAAGCCAACGTCTGTAACATCTCGTGTGAACCGTATCATCGTGCTCGTAGAAGGGCCAACGAGGTTTCGAACTCATTTTGGTGATGTGTGAAAGGAACTTTGCCACGTTGCTGGAGTCCATTTTGTCCAGGCTTCCTCCGAAGGCGGGGCCGACAGCTCTTGCGAAGCGCAAATTGGGTCAAAGGGCGAACACTGAGACTGCGTTGGCTCGCATCTGACATCAGTCACACATGCACCCTCATCTACGTTCGGTGGTACTTCTGGATCGTCTCTGTTTTTGAGCTCGTACTCCCACTCAAGGTGGGTGCCCATAGTTGTCTCGGCGCGATTCGAGAGAGTACTCTTTGTCGCGACGTCTTTCAGGCCACTGAATGGGCGATGTATGAGGCGAAGTAAGTCAAAAACTGCTGCGTGAAGCTCAGATGAACCACGATCAAAGAAGAAGAGGCTGTCACTCGCCAGAGAAGTCGGGGGCGTCGCGAACTCTTCACCATCCCTTGTCTGAGATCTGTAATCTTGCAGCTTCCCCATGTGAGCTGCAAGAATGTTACGAAACCTGCCAGCAAGCGTGTCTTTGATCGCACAGTACTCGAGAACACTAATGCATTTTTCCAGCAGTTTCACGTCGTCAGTGTATGGCTCGTTGTTCAGAGCCCTCTGCGATGCCTGGTAAGCGATCATGACTCCCGCCGTGTAGGCTGTGTAACTGGAATTCTGGGTTAGCATCCTTCGCCACCGTGGCATACGCCTGACTCACATGCAGAGCCAGCAAACTTGTACTACCTTCCCTTCCTGTAGCATTAGACTCATGACAGACGCGTTTGTTTCCGCAGCTTGGTATCCTTCCTCGATAGCCCTTCGTGCTTCTGGTGGAAGAACTACGATGCCAACTGCATCGAGCGGGATGTATGCAATTATTAGCCGCCGAGCAAGCAGCATCATAGCCGAAAGATAAAAGAGATGAACATAGAATATTACTGGGCGGAATGTGGCCATCAGCGGGCTGCTGTCGCCGCGTAACAGCGCAGCAACTGACATCCAGTCGGGGAGTTGCGCATGGAATCTCGATAATTGCGCGCGAAACTCTAGCGTGACATTTTCCGGTACAGGCGCCTTGCTTGGTAGACGGTGAAGTAAGCTTGCCTTGATGATGGAAACTTTGACGCATTCGCGTCGAATCATGTCCTGGGGCGGCGCGTCTAGTCCATTGAGAGATGAGTGGACGTCGAAGGTTAACGAATCAGAGTTGTAGTCAAGAGATGCGCTCAGCCAGCTATCGGAGTAGTCAGCGATATATCACACATAACTAAAGGCATGCCAAACTGACCATTGCAAGTGGACAAGAGTCATATGCGTGCGACGAATGTCGTCGTAATAGCTTGGGGACCAGTCTGGCGGACATGTTTCGAGAGATATTTTGCGGTTGCGAGGAAGGCTCAGACCAAGTTCTGAAAGTCATCAGTGGCGTATTTCTCGTGAGTATACCCAAGTGTGACTCGTACCAATGTAAGCCAGAGCAACTGTCGCCTTGACGACGATGTTATACATGCCAAGCAGCGCGCAAACATTCATGGCTCGAAGCGGATCGTAGAGAATCGCAGAGTCCAGGCCATGTTTGGCGACTGCGTAGAAGTAATCGGCAAGCTCGGGAGGCGGTGCCTTTGTTGGGTCGGCTAGCTGTGAATGTATAACACCGATAGAGGCCATACCCGCAATTTCTGCGGCATAAGTACGAAGTTCGATTGTACTTCCGTTGCTGAACATGTGTCCGAGTGGCATGTTCTCGTTTCCGGAGGCTTTGATTGCTTCGATGCATGCTTGGACGTCGTTCCTATTCATAATGTAAAAGAGTGCTCCCACACAGTTAAAGAACATCTCTAATGGGCCGTGGACGTTGGAAACACTTGCGTTTTCGTGGTTTGGAGCAAGCAGAGTGATGCCCGTGACTTCGGTCTGGCCCTTTCGAACAGTAGAAAATCGGGGATGATCCATTATCTCAGGGACGGAAAGCATTGTCGATGAGGGAGAATTCGTAAATGTCGGTGGTGAATCGTTCTTACCAACTTTGGTCTCAGATGCAGGCCCAGACTCGGAAGAATTGCGACGGCCCATTTCGAAGTTCTTGAAGATGACTCCCAGATCGTCACCCTGGGTCGCTCGCAGGTGCTGCAGCAAGGCCGTGGCTTTGTCAGGTGAAGCCGTCTGTAGGAACCACAAAACTTCATACATCGAACTTTTATCGTCCTCCAGTTCTTCAATCTTTCTTTTTTGCGCCTGAATGAGGGGTGGGTCGTATCCGCATTGTGAATTTCTCTCCGAGCAAGAGCGACATGTCGGTCTGCCCCCGTCACACTGTCGTGTGTCAGCTTCGACTTCACGGAATTGCTGTCGTTACTAGCAAAGAATTCGGTGAAAGACCTTGGTGCGTCGGCCACGGCAGGGCAGACATGCGACCGTCACGCGTGACGGCCTGCGACTGGTAGGAGTTGCTCTACTAACAGCGGCGGCAGCAGCCAAGTCTTGTGGACGCGGCGCGATATCTCTGAGAGAAGACGATGACATTCCTAACAACCGGGAGTGCGAGAGCTTGGATCAAAGTACAAGCTAAAGGTGCGGTCTGCTCCTTATTGGCGGATAGGCCAATGTGCTATAAGTGATGAAGCAACCAGCTTTGGATGCCTCGAGTGGTCGGCGGATGCAGCGGCATGGCCAGTGCACTCTGTGCGTGGCAGGTACGTTAGCCATGACGTCAGACCTTATGCAAACGCTGACTCCATGCATTGAATTCGACGCAATTTCTATGCATAGGTGTCTGAATGGAGTTCATTGCAGTTTGATGGCTTCGTGATTATCCAGTCTGGTGGGTCTTGCCGAGAAAAAGGCCGACTGCACCTTTTGTATCCACTGCCCGCGCAACTCACGCACGCACCATCAACGGCAATTGTCACACATCCGTAATTCGCAGTCGCCATACGGGCAAGACTCGATATCTGACGACTTTTGAACTGCCCATGGGCATCTCTGTGATATTATGATCACTATGAGGCCTTGTTCAGCAGGGCCTTTTGAACAGTGATTGTTGATTAGTGAGCACAGCTTGCGATCTGCTCAGGTTGGCACCAGAAGCATCTTGAAGGCATACGTTCGACAAGACTTCCACGCATTATGGACGTCAGATTTTGAGGGAAAACATGCGACTTCGCAAGTTATACGCTTAGAGCTCCAAGGATATGTTTCTAGTGAGGATCAGCATAGCCACGTCGAACGCCATACAGTCCGACTGGTATTTGTCTGACTCAAAGAAATCTCCACTATCGTGCAACCTTTTCCCACGCAATCACGCGGAGAGAGCGTAAGCTTTCCCCAGACAAAGGGACGCAATTTATCCGTTTGTACGAATGTTGGCAGAAGGATCGTTAGGGAATCCCCGCAATGGCTGTTCACGAAACCGGTGACATCATAGCTGCATGCGTAGGACTGCCCGGTAGCTACAGCATCGTTAGCATGCCTGATACTGACCAAGTCGACACCAGATATCGTGGCATCTTACCTACATATATGATCACAGAAGCTTTGGATTAGCGAGGAATTGTAGCCCTGGGAGGCTGCGCCGCGATGATGCTGCACACCGAGATACGTTGGAGTTCAACTGAGTCAACGAACGCCCTTCACATATCTAGCAACGAGTGGTAGGTGCAAACGCTACTTAGACACATCAGGCCTAAGCAAGTCAGGTGTTTGACTCCACATATTCTTCTTACACGACTGTTGCCTGTATTCGACACTACAACCAATGGCGTCTGTATCTTGATAATGATATAACTGTTTGTACAATAACTCCAGCGCTGGAGTCGCGACACGTTGAAGCCGCCAACATGGCCAAGGGCGCAATGCTCTCACCCAATCCCGCTTCACCGGCTTCCAGCGCCTGTCACCGGCTTCCAGCGCCTGTCAAACACTCCACGATAAGAAATATGCCCAGCCATATTGGCCTAAACTCGGTACCAAAGACGACATTCCGACATGGCTCCAAGATAACGACTTCATCATCACGGGACATCCAATGCCGACTCATTCGTATAAACGATCCTTTCGGCTGTGGCGTTGCCTTCATATGGAAACGATGAATATCTGGACCCACCTTCTTGGGAGTACCGCGTTCGTTGGGACTGGCATCGGGTTACACAGACTTGCTATCTCGACGCAGCTTAATCTGAGCACTGGCGACAAATTTGCTTTCGGCATTTCTCTGTGCGCAGCAGCCCTGTGCTTTGGGCTCAGTACAACGTTCCATACACTTCGGAGTCATTCCTACAACATTCACCATTTCTGGGGCCGCTTCGACATCTTCGGCATTTGTCTTCTTGCTCTTGGTGGAGGATCATCGGCCACTTATTATGCCGCTCGCTGTGATCCAATAGCTCGACGGGTATATTGGTGTCTTAATGGGGGCGCCGCTATCGCTGCTGCTGCTGTGCTCTTTGATGCTGGCGGTGGTGGGAACAAGATGAGAGCGCTTCGTGGCGGTAGCTTCGGTGCACTCGCTCTTACGGCAATGCTCCCAATATCTCATGGCATCGGCAAACTTGGATGGATTCGTGCGTGTGCTGAGATGGGCGCTCAGTGGTATGTTGCAGAAGGGCTGGTTCTTCTGCTTGGGGTCTCATGTTTCGTTGGTAGGTTTCCAGAGAGACTGAGCCCAGGCTCGTTCGATATTTGGGGCCACTCTCACCAGATACATCATGTTTGCGCTGTAGTTGGCCAGGCTTGCCATATAGCCGCTCTTGTCGCCGGCTACAAATTCCGTAACGCGCATCCAACTTGTTGATCGAGAGAGGCTGTTGGTGCCGGCGCAATGAGTAATGCAATGGCGGATAGCACTATCGTTGAATGCAACAAGAAATTATACTGAACGGCGTATAGTAGTTGCAGCAACTGTACGATAGAGTAAGGAATATCAACCGACGGTAGGTGGGTATCGAAAAGATGTTTCCCATGTGCAGTGACGAGTATGGCCGGAGAAGGGGCGACGGGCAGGAGTAAGCGAAGCGTTCCTGGGACGCGGCGCATCACCGACTGCCGCCTGCGCAGCAGCAGCAGCAGTCAACCTTCGCCCAATTCCCATCCAATATGTCGGCCTCGACCGAATCGAGCGCAACCAATGTAGATTCTCACAGCGAAGACGCGCCCCGCGTTGAAGCGCTCTTCCTCATCAAGTTTGACAAGAAAGTTGGGTACGTCATGCGACGCTGGACAGCCGGAGTACCTCAGGGAGCTATGCGCTGATCACTCACAGCTATACAATCGCCTGGAAGCGCACAACGACACCGGATATTACCCTCGACAACGCCGTTGAATACAAATCGCTACCCTCGGGTCTGCACTCAGTGCAGAATGACCTCGTCTACTTTACCCACGATGGCTATGCCGGGCTCAGCGCCTTCGCAAAGGGCGACGCGAGCGCAGAGGATCGCAATGCCACGTTCGTTTCCGTGGGTATCCTAATTCAGAAGGAGGGCAGATTTGGGAGGCTAGGAAGGAGCTGGCTACTGGCCGGCCGCTTGGAGAAATTGGCTGCAGCTCTGGCGGACGACCCGGAAGCTGTGACGCCGCTGGACGAGTTCTGGCAGGAGCAGGTCTCGAGACATGGCAAAGGCGACACCACCTCAGAAGCCGGAGAGGCGAAAGGTCACAGCAGAGCGCGCGCCATCTCCACCGTGAGCGCTGTCATCAAAGACGAGGAGAGCCTGCCGGACTACCACCCGGCCTTATCTATACAACGCTTCCTCGACGTATTCGGGCCATTGGTCTTCCGCCTGCTTCAAGCGGCCCTGCTGAGGAAACGCATCCTCTTCGTGGGCGTCCCGCCGGTCAGGACTGCCTGCGAGTTTGGTACGTCTGGGATCTTGTCATTGGTTATCTTCCAGCTAACATGCCAGTCTACAATCTGTCTGTCCTGTCTAGCATATCGCCTCGCGACACCGAACGTTTGCCTCCAGAGACGGAAAACCTCCTCCGCCTACCCACCCTCTTCTCCGTCGGCGTACACGACATACCTCTCCTCGACGACCTTCGCAAGCCCAAACACGGCGGACACACACCGGACCTCGAGCCATCAGAGGGCTGGGCGGCGTGCACAACGGACGAAATCATTGTCACAAAGACGCAGCTCTACGACATCATCGTCGAATTACCACCCAGTTACGATGCGCCCCCACAAGAACGCCGCTGGCCGCGGATACGAACGAGCGATGGCAGTTTGATCAAGGCTAGCCAGCGGGATGTTGCGCGCTACAAGCTTTTGCACAAGGAGCTTTTCAAGCAGCGCACGAGATCGGAAACATCGCCCGAGCCGTATACGGACGACGAGAACGACGACACTGCTCCCCTGCTGTCACGCGACGAGGTCGATACCAAACGCGCCGACGACGACTTCAACGAAGCATACGACGACACGGTGGTAGAACCAACAACGTGGTCGAGGCTTGCATATATGGGCTACATGTGGTGGGCTTCGGCTGGCGAGAGAGATGCATACACGACAGCCGAGCGGGAGACGGACCGCGAGCTGATTGGCGACCTCTCCGCCTACTCACAGTCGTTGGAGACAGCGATAATTGCCTACTTCCACCGACAGTCTTCGCTGCTCATACGAACGCTATCGCAGATCATCGAGGCGGATACACAAGGCGAAAGAGGAGACGACGACGATAATGACAGCGATGCATTGATTGTTGACAGAGACGACCTGTCGCGAATGGGGCTGGACACCTGGTCAGAGGCTGATCGCGCCTTTGTGCAGGAATTTGGTAGTCTGTACTTTGGACGTACTGTTGGGGTCAAGGGCAGTGAAGTGGAGTGCTGTGGTTTGCGGGTGCCAATCTTCTAGCTGGGCTGGGAGCGTTTAGCTAGCCACAAACCGGCAGGTTCCCGGTTGTGTGGAGGGCTTCAACGGTGAACACAGACTGTTGTGGTGTAGGTTAATGACAGTCTACTTGTTGCGGGCAACGTTGGAATCCGCTCCATCGCATTAGTGGCGCTAAAATGTTGGGATCGTGTACCTGGAATACCCGCTTTCAGTCACAGGCTGAATGGCGTACAAACAACATGTTTGCGGCTGTATACACGTCCGTATAGCTATGCACACCTCGGTCATCATGCTTTGGGTTTCCGCGTGAAGCCTCGGAGGTCCGTACACAATCAAATCCGCGTAGCATGATTTGTCGGTTTGGTAGAGCTCAGGCAGCCCGAAGTCGGACCCCGCAATTGAATGCACAGGGCGCGCGCAAGCGAATTCTGCGCCCCGCATCGTCATATGCCATTCCCAGTGGCCGGCTCAAGGCCTTAGTATCACCGACCAAAGTTTTCTTTTGCTGTGAATCATACCTCTCGCTGTACTAATAGTCTGCCTGTGCGCACGTCTCCTGCGTCTTTCCATATCCCAAGTGTGTTTACTTTGCTCGAATTCACCCGAGATACATTTTTGGCCCTCCATTGTTGTTGCTGGGCCATCAAGAGACTGTTCTCAAAGTAGCGCCTCAAGATACCTGCTGCATTAATCACACCAAGATGCCTATGCTCAAAGAGCCCTGGAAGAAGTACCATCCCTTCAAGCCATTGAACCTGCCGGACAGGACATGGCCTAACAAGACCATCGAGAAGCCACCACGCTGGCTGTCGACCGACCTCAGAGATGGTAACCAGAGTTTAGTAGATCCCATGGTAAGTACCAATCCACCCAGAAGCCGCTGCGAACCAGCATCTGACACGGACCGCAGGATGGCGCGCAAAAATGGGACTACTTCAATATGCTAGTCAAGCTCGGCTACAAGGAAATCGAAGTCTCCTTCCCCTCCGCGTCGCAAACCGACTTCGACTTCACGCAACGCCTAATCCAAACACCCGGCATAGTACCTGACGATGTCTGGATCCAGGTCCTCTCGCCATGCCGGAAAGAGCTCATCCGCCGCACCGTCGACTCCCTCAAGGGCGCGCGCAAGGCCATCCTCCACCTGTACCTCGCGACCAGCCCGTGTTTCCAGCAGATCGTCTTCAACATGAACGACGATGAGACAATCGCCCTCGCAGTCGAATGCACAAAGTACGCGCGCTCGATAACCAAGGACGACCCTGCGCAAGCCGGCACAGAGTGGGCATACGAGTTCTCGCCCGAGACTTTCTCAGATTCGTCCCCAGAGTTCGTCATCAAGGTCTGCGAGGCTGTCAAGGCAGCGTGGGAACCAAGTGTAGAGAACCCGCTGATCTTCAACCTGCCAGCCACCGTGGAAATGTCGACACCCAACGTCTACGCCGATCAGATCGAGTACTTCTGCAAGAACATCTCCGAGAGGGAGAAGATCTGCGTCTCTCTACACCCACACAACGACCGAGGATGCGCAGTAGCGGCGGCAGAACTGGCACAAATGGCGGGTGCAGACCGAGTAGAAGGCACGCTCTTCGGCAACGGAGAGCGCACAGGAAACGTTGACCTCGTCACCCTGGGCCTCAACCTGTACACCCAGGGCATACATCCAAAGATCGACTTCTCTGATCTGAAGTCAATTATCGATATGGTGGAGAGCTGCAACAAGATCCCGATACATCCGCGCGCACCATACGGAGGCCAGCTTGTTGTATGCGCCTTCAGCGGCTCACATCAAGACGCAATCAAGAAGGGATTCCAGATGCGCAAGAAGAACGGCGCGGACAACGAGAGCCGGTGGCAGATCCCATACCTTCCCCTCGACCCCCAAGACATCGGCCGCACGTACGAAGCCATCATCCGCGTCAACTCACAAAGTGGAAAGGGAGGAATCGCCTGGATCATCCAGCGCCAGCTCGAACTCGACCTGCCTCGTGGTCTGCAAATCGCCTTCTCCAAGATTGTGCAGAAGGAGACCGACATGCTCGGCCGCGAACTCCTGCCAACCGAGATCACGAACCTCTTCGAAGAAGCCTACCATCTCAAACGCAACCCTCGCTTCTCCCTTGTCGATTACGAAATCAAGGCCGACCGATCAGAGACACCTCTGCCACCGCAAGACGGCCGAACAGTCAGCAGCCGCAACCTGCGCCGTATCTTCAACGGTGTCATTGAGATTGACGGCCAGGAACACAAGATCCAGGGTTCGGGCACCGGTGCGCTGTCATCGCTGGCCGATGCACTGAGGAGTCTGGGTATCGACCTGGACGTTGTAGACTACAACGAGCACACGATTGGTACAAGCAAAGACGCAAAGGCCGCGACCTACATTGGTTGCACAGCCGCGCAGAGCAGTCAGAAGGTCTGGGGTGTTGGCATCCACCAGGATGTGGTTCAAGCGTCTCTCATCGCTATGTTGAGCGCAGCTTCTTCAGTAGGTCTTCTCTTATGATAACAAGCAGCACTTTGGCTAACACATCACAGTTCCTATCTTCGAGACCTACCACACCCATTCCTTTCCGCCCCAAGCGATCGAACACCCTCGAGATCCCCAGCCCAGACTCAAGTCCTACACGAAACGGCAAACAAAATGGAAGCACGATAGTGGATAAGCTAGAGGCTGCTGTTAATGGCAGTCAGGCAGACGTCAAGAGTGCGGGGGTGTAGCGGCATGAAGTCTTATCAACGCTTCACAGTTCAGTTTCTCCGTTCACACATATCGCATACAGCATTTGGGATGTAAAAGGTCGGGGCATTGGAGTTTTAAAAGTGCTGTCTCAACGGAATGAGAATATCTAAACAAGGTATCAATAGCTGTACTCAAATCACACATGTAGAACCTTACAATATCCGCGTTCTGTGTTCTTGTCCGCTTGCCTACCAGACGTTTTCATCGGCACAGCTCCCACAGCAATCGCTCTTGTTCTTGCCATGCCCAGGGCGTATCCGACATCGGCACATGCATCCTACACAACGCTTATCGCCGGCTCATGGACCCGTAGATGTGGATACCGGTTGGTGTGAAGTAATGCCCGACATATGGATGACATACCGGCCCAAACTCTATCTACAACTCCGATCCGTGTCACCATATCCATACAAGATCACGATCATAACCCTGCCCACCCCCAGCGCATTCTCTCTACCAACAAGGACAACCAACATGGCAGAAAACGACCGGAACAGCATCCCCCCAGCCCCAGCCTACTTCCCCACATCCGCCGACTCCCCCCTCCACCCCCCAACCGCCCTCTACACTACTCTCCGCGACCTCCCCTCCACCTCCCTAATAAAGACCCAGGATTTCACCATCCCACCCCGCAGCGGAAAAGCTTGGACCGTACCCGCAGGCGCACTATTCCGTCTCTCCACGCCCGAAGGCCCCCAAGTCGGCGATTTAAACGTGTGGAACCAGCATGATCCCCGAGAGCGCTTCTGGGCATCTAGGACGAGGCAGTTGCAGGGGAGTCATGTGGTGCAGGGGGATAGGCTGTGGAGTTGCCTCCCGTTTATGAGGCCAATGTGTGGGCTTGTGGAGGATGGGTGTGAGATTAGGGATTCTGGGGGTAAGGGGACGGGAAAGGGGAGGGAGAGCAGCAGGGATGAGAGGGGTGGGGTTACGCAGTGGGGTGGACGGTGTAATGATCTGCTGGGGACGAGGTGTGATCCTTATGGTATGTCTGAATGCGCGGGTCTGGGGTTTGGTTTGGGGTGGGCTGTACCGCTGGACTCTTCTTGTTCTTTTAGATTCTTCCGTTCAAATAGAGTATGCGGAAGTTATGCTAACGATTAACGCAGTTTCTAACATGCTGACATCCTCATCCTACGATTACCACTGCCACTCCAACCTCGTCCGTTCCATCTTGCCATATGGTCTGACGGAATTCGATGTTCACGACGTACTCAACGTATTCCAGGTCACGGGTCTAGATTCCCAAGGCCGCTACTTCATGGAAGCTAGTCCTGCGACCAAGGATAGCTTTCTCACCTTCTTCGCCGAGTTGGACTTGTTATGTGCGCTGAGTACATGCCCAGGTGGTGACCTAAGCCGGTGGGGCTGGACGCAGGCGGAAGAGGGAAAAGAGAAGAAAGAGGGAGATAATGATGAGGGGATGAAGAGTACGTGCCGACCTATTCGGGTAGAGGTTTATGAGATCAAGGAGGAAGTCAAAGGGGAGGTGTTGAAGGGGTGGAAGAAGCCGGAGAAGAGTGGATATAGGGGAATGCATGGGATGCGTATTCCTGAGGGCGAGGCCTAGTCTTTCCTAAATTCTACAACTTGTTGCTTCCATGAATCTTGCCGCCATCGAGCACAATTGTGTCTCCGTTGACATGTCCGCCAGCCCTACTGCTCAGATATACAACTGCAGCTGCGATGTCCTCTGGCTTTCCTACCCTTCCATTCGGGTTAGTCTTTCCCAACGCCTCCTCACCACCAGCCTTCTCCATCAGTACACCTGCCATCTTGCTCATGAAGAATCCTGGCGCAATACCGTTGACAAGAATGTGTCTGGGCCCTAGTTCAACAGCAAGGTTGCGCGCAAGATGCAGGACTGCGGCCTTGGATGCGGAGTACGACCAAGAGCCTGTCTCACCGAGAGATCCCACGCCAATCCCTGCTACGCTGCCTGTTACGATGACGCGCGAGGGGTCTTGGACTGTTGCAGCTTTGGTGAGGAGGGGTGTGAGTCTGCGCCTATATCAGCGCTATTATCAGATAGTAAAAGAAACGAAAGACTTACTTCTGGATTGTAAAGAAGACACCCTTGACGTTCAAGTCCATGACCTTATCCCATCCATTCTTCTCATCCGCCTCTTCAAACTTGCTGCCCCAGGTAGCTCCTGCATTGGCAAAGAGAATGTCCACGTGATCGGTATGCTTGCTGACTTCCTGCACAAGACGGTCGATCTCGGAGACCTTGGAGCTATCCGCGGGAATGGAAATAGCTACTGCACCAGGTGACTTGTTGGGGAGCGCATTTAGGGCTGCGACGGCGGCATCGCAGGCTGAAGCTTTACGGGAGGTGATGAAGATCTTGGAGCAGCCAGCTTGCATCAAACTGGTCTTGTGTTAGGCAGGTGCGCTGGAATGATGGATGGAAGCAGATGGATTCATTTACCCTGATGCTGCATGGAGACCTAATCCTCGAGATCCGCCGCTCACGACTGCTACTTTGCCTTTCAAGCTGAAGATGTTGGTAAAGTCGTGCAGCTGCACATCTTGTTCCGCTGATGCCATGATGATCGTATATATCGAGTATTATGTATTTGGCAACAATCGAACGTGATGTGCACACCAACAATGCGTTACTATGTGGGAGTGTTGATTAGTCGTGATTCACGACTGCTCATGTAACGACCTCGGTGCTGACGGTGCCCAGCCATCCGAAGTTGTATCAATGCATACGTGATGTACCGAGGCTGTAAGTCGCGCTAGTCTACTGCGTGGGGTAGCGTGTTATCCAGTGCACATGCTCTTTCTCAGGTTGTGACGAGGACTTTCAATGAGGGAGTCGTTGATTCGTTGTTCATAAGTCGAGGTGGGAATATACACGATACATTGCGACCAGGCGGATGCGTGACATCGAGTCGGAGAATAATTCGCTCTAAAGCTTGCCCATCTCCTCCACGCATAGTTCCGGAGAATACCAGGGTGCTTTTATCTGCGCCGCGCGCTGCGCTACAAGAAAAAGCATCATCTCGAGTGTTGGCTAGAGGTGCAGTTAAGGTTGTCGGATCTAGGTGTGCGGCAATCTCGGAGCATCGTACAAGGACATAATGGGGACGCTGGTGTGAGACATGGCTGGACTCGAGGGCCACAACGTCGAGACTCAACGTGAATCGCATTGCTCAAGTGAGATGTCGACGATGGCTACGGCACGCGAGCGAAGGTCCAATGCCCAGGTAGTGTGCGCGCTCCAGTGCGCCCGCCTCGAGTATCGGAAGTAAACACCGGCTTCCTAGTCGGCGGGAGGCATGGAAGGCGCGAAGAACTTGGCGCATTCCGACGACACCACGCGCACCCACCATGAAGAGCGTAGCGGATATTGCAGGAGCATCAACGTGCATCCTGCAACGGTTTTGCTGTCGATACATACTGTTCTCGCTCTCCTCGCCGACCTGGAGAAACTGCCGCGAACAGGACGACGCGTTATCACGTCGCCACTCTACCCCAACACGACTCCGAATTTCGCAGATCTCCATCCGCCCGCCAGAGACAAGCTTCTCCCTTTCTCCAAGCGTCTAAGAGATTTTCTGCATGACGTCCTATTCGGGACTGACATGTGCTGATCGCCCCGGTTGGAAACCGCCAGGCGAAAGATCACCGGCGAAATTTTAGCCTGCCTCCAACGGCGTCTTATCGGAGGGCCGATCGCACGTCAAACTCGGGTTGCAGAACTCAACTTCGGGTCCGCCAAGACACATTCGGTCCATTCTCGCAGATGAGCGGCTCACAGCACGCTACTCTTCCTGTCATCCCAGTCTGTTTTCTCGAAACCCCATCGGCTGCCTTCCTTGGACGGAAGCTACCGACCCGCCAGGGGGCCGCGCAATCATAGATGATCAACGAGCGATCACAACTGTAGATCTTTTCACTTCTGTTTACTTCTCAGAGTACGTACGGGCCTCGTCGACACACAACTATGCGGCCGGAGGGGACGGCATCAAATCGATACTTGAGCAGACGTCGGGTGTCACATTCCATACCTTCCGCTCCACGCGACATGTGCAACGGCGCACAGGATATAAAAAGATCAAAACTCCGACTTGCAGACACAAATCGTACCGTAGAAGCATTTTGCGGGCCTCTGGTATGCACGTCCTGATCGACACGCTCAACAGATGCTACAGACCATTGAGATTGGTGCTCGCTCTTGCGGATACCGCAATGTACCCTGCCGTGTATCAGAAACATAGCACCGTTCTTGAGACGCCCGTCAAAAGCCTCGTAAGGCACCTATCCGGGCTTGCTATCCGGCAGCTGTCAGTTTCAGGTGGCGAGGGGCCGCGGCGCGGTCTAGACGAGCGGTTCGGCAGTTGGCAGTAAATTTCCACCCGCCTTGACCTGGTTTCTGGTCACCTCGGCTTCGCATTGCTCTTCATGTTGCATCTGACTGGCCGAGCCGCTGTCGACGCCAAGCTCGAAATCAACAGAAGGACAGACTAGCCATACATTGGCCTTGCCTGTGGGGCTTCCGCGACGGGCGCGGGCACGCGCTGCAACGTGGGGAACCACGTTTTTGCAAGCGGTGCCACGCCTGATGACGGGCGCCGCAAGGTCAGGGATCTTCTCCGGCGACGCGCGCAGAACAATTCTCGGGACACTGTCCTGAATGAGGTAGTGTTAATTCAACGCTTAGTGTACTTACCCAAGAAGATGTACGAAGAATCTTGTTCATAGTGACATCAGTGTGAGCATTACGTAGGTTCAAGGTCTGCCAACAAATCGGAAGCCACACGGCAATTGATGTGGCTGTGGCGTACCGTGCACGGCGATTCCACCGCTCAACGTGCTGTGGCTGGGGAGGCCTGGCTACAGTCTCCGCGAATCCCACTAGGGCATGCCGGGACAGATCGCTAGTGAACCACCATGACGGTGTTCCCTATCTTCTTGGGGACCGAAAACTGATCCTTCGGCGCCTTTTTCGCCATCGTCTTTCAAAGTCCAGAGCGCTTCATCCGAGTAATCCTCGTGCTTGCAGATTCGAAATCCCGTGTGCTTTTGCCATGGCTGCAGGCGTTAGCGAAGTGCCTTTCTTCAATGCCGCATGCAGGTACACCCCTGTATGAATCTCGCCGAAAAGGTATGCCTTGGACGTTTTGGGTGAAGCCATGTGGACCGTCTGGCATTTAGGCACGAACCGATCATCTTCTGGAACATGAGGCTTCATCAGAGCCGGACAAGCTGTCAGGTAAGACTAGCCATCCGGATCTACGTCCGAGCCTGCTAACGGAGCTGCCAGCCCGTGTAGAATTTGAACTAGAACACTCGCTTCGTCTCATTCTAGTCGAAGCAGCACCAGCTGTATGCCGTGTGCGGAGCCATTGGGCAGTACTCACGAGACACAAAAACATAGGTTTGCACGACGACTTCTATCGGTCCACTCGTGGACGGGAGCCAAACCACATATCTGGGCATTCGTGGTACTATCAACCCGCAATAAACTTTGCTCCTCCCGTATACCGGTAAGTCGAATGCACAGGAGGCCTCTGCTTCGTGGTGTTGTTGAACAAGGCTTGCTAAAGTCCCCTACTTTCCCAGGATACGGAGCTTTGTACAGGGTCCCCGAAGCTCCTTTCCATTTCAGCGCGTCGCCAAGTCGACACGTGCTTTAAACGAAGCACCTTCGCCAATCCCCTGTGTCGCTCAGAGCATCCATCCGAGATCGAAAGGTGGCGACCTGACAGGGTCCTTCTACCGCCTTACCACAAGGTTGCTAGACGAACTTCACTGCAACTGGGAATTGAGCTGATCATTGCAGCATTTTGACTAGCATACTAGCCCCATACGACGCCCCGAAATACCCAGTATTTCCTTCATCGGATCTTTGCCGAGACTTAACATCGTTCCCACGAACCTTGCCGTCTGCCGAAGCGTCTCTTGTCTCCTCACGGCCGTGAAAGTTCAATCATCACACACCACCTCGCAGTTCACCCTAACCAGTCTAGCCACTGACCCTAACCTAAAGCTGTGGCATCTCGGCCACTCAGCCGAGCGGCTGGCTGACAGCACTTACTCAGGCGACACAGACCCGACTATCGCGCTCCAGCCTTCTGTATGCCCGAGTCACTCAATCTGCCCAACCTACCGCTCGCTTGCACGGTTTCTCCACTTGGAGCGAAGACCTGTCACTTATCTTGTTCATCCACAAGTTTCCATCTTCCGCATCTTGCATCACGCCAAGGCAGCATGAGGTGTTGACGGCTGGCTTCCATTGGTTCAACACGTCTACCTGGTCCCACAAGCTACTAATATCGTTGGCCCGTTCTGAGTAGCGCTGTGTTCGGCTTCTACCGAGACCACTTACTCTTTCTCCATAGCGACATCATCTCGACTAGAACTTGTTACCTACCAAGCGAATTTCGATACCCACACCCGGCCTGTCTTCGAGCGCTTGGGCTATCTCTCACGATGCGCAAATCTCCGCCAGGTTCCAGTGGGCAGTCGCCACGGACCATGATACCACCACCAAGTCCGTTCACGATGTCGCATCCGGTTGCTCGCACGACTACTCTGGCGGCGCCTACTGGCCCACAGCTTGGCTCCCGTTCACCTGGGTATTCTTCGAACTCTTATAGCCATTCCACTTCACCAAGTACGGCATCTGGAAGCCTGCCGGACCACAACCACGATGGCGCGAGCCTGATGATATCCCCTACTCAGATATCGTCCGCGAACTTGAACGCGCAAAAACGCGCATACAGACAGAGACGTAAGGATCCCTCGTGCGATGCTTGTCGAGAACGCAAAGTCAAGGTGAGTAAAGAAAATAGAGGGTTCATACGTACATGAAAAGCAAGTGTTTTGGTGGCATTCCAACAATGCCATCAGAGGCGGACAAGCGAGATTGGGGATGGATGATCAGGTACTGGCCACCTAGACGACCATCTTCCCTTTCAGTCGCGTCGAGCGCATGCGTATCTAGTTGCGCATGAGCTTTGCTGAGATTGACATGCTCCCATGAGCAATGTTAGGGCATTGAACTGGACACCATGTGAGGATGTGACTGACCACTAGTACAGTGCGATGCAACCGAGACATCGGCTTGTTCGGAATGCTCGAGCCGTAACCACAGGTGTCAATTCACCAAGGAGACCAACCGGCGAATGTCATCCATCAAGTACGTGTTATGACTTAGCCCACTTGGACGAACAGTTGCTTACGTTGCATAGACAGGTCCAGGATCTTCAGAGTCAGATTGCCGAGTTGACTCATGTCAACTCTCAGCTGCGCACCAAGGTCTCCGATGGTGAGCCTTTAGATCCCGAACGGACAGACACGAAGCGCAGGCTTTCTGAAGCTCAGATTGGCGCCATACCGGGACCACGTCCGATCACAATGCCAGCCTTGAACAACTTCGACCAGGTCCGCAGCAACATCCGAACACATGCCCAAGGCATATTTTCTACACCCCATCACGATCCAAAGGGCGCTGGATTGACAAATTGGCGGTCACCCGAGATACCAATACGCGCAGACTTTGCGTACCTCGCTCGCTCATACATGGAGACAATACACGAATCGTATCCTGCAGTTCACTGGCCCACTTTTCAGCGAGAAGTGGACGAAGTGTACACTTCGAAAACATTCGAGGGCTGCTCTCGTGAATGGGTCGGATTATTCTTTGCGGTATTGGCTTGTGGCGCTTTGCAAGCTGAACCGGGGCACACCAACTCTCCTACCTCAGTGTCAAAGGGCCAGGCAATGTATGAGACCGCGACTGCTGTTCTCCAGTCCTGGCCGCATGATGTCTCAGTTACATATGCCCAAGCAGCACTTCTGTTGAGCATCTACGCTACTGAGTGCAACTTGGGCCCTGCGGGCTCTATGTGGCTCGCCTCTTCCGCGAGAATGGCTCAGGAATTGCAAATATGCCCTGAAGTCGATGTCTGGCCTCTTGTCGACGGTGAGATCCGACGTAGGCTCTGGTGGTCCATCTACGTTCGCGATAGGTATGGAAACTGTTTCTCACCTGTTTTTGCCAACTGCAGCTGACTTTGAAATAGGATCATGTCGCTTGAGACAGGCAAGCCTATGATCATCAACGAAATCGACTGCGAAATATCTCTGCCATCCGCCGTGGACGACCGCTACATCCAACCGAACAGTTCCTTCCGCTCGTTAGCGAAGCCAACTCACTATACTGGGTTCATGGCGAACATACACATCACACGCCTATATGCGCCACTGCGGCAAATTCTCAAATCAAGCGTAGTTCTCCCACAGAGCCTACAAAGCTTTGATGAAGAGCTTCGACTTAAGTTGCTGCTCCTTCCTGAAGCCTACCAGCCTGATTCCAATACACTGTTCGACATGTCGGCACTGCCTACAATCTTTTGCTTGTTGTCCGCTCGCTTTAGTGTGTACCGGCGCAATCTGACTCCAGTAGCCGGTCTCGCGGAGCGAGTGAGTGCTCTAAAGCGGTGCTTTTCTGTTTCTCAAGACACGGCAACGTATGTGTCAAGGGCCTTGCACAATCCTCCCAAACAGGATTCTGGAAAAACATGGGAAGAGCTAGTAGCTTCGATAGCGAGCAATGCCGTATGTTTGCACTTGTGGAGATGTATACTTGTGCTATGCTTCCGTGGCGAGTACAAGGCTGCACTCGTTTGCTTGCATCTCTCCAGAGCTATTGGCAATCGACGGAAGGTCAACACGGCGTGCGGAAAGCACGTGGTATTCTTCCTCGAAAGGATGTTCGACAGAGTGCGTACCGGGCGCGCAAGCAGTCATCAGCTCGAGCAGGATGAGGAGATGATCGCGTATGTCAGTGCGGACGCTCAAAGCAGCCTTGAGCATTCTTGGGTTTGGGCGGGTGATAATTTGATCTCTTCGAGCATGAAGCCAGACCCGACCCCCATCGCTACAAGATCGCCGAGCGGCGATGAACCGATGCGGGACGCACTACCATTGCGCACGTCATCTGGTTCACCGATGAACACTACAACTGAACCGGATGAGTGGAGCAAGGTTGAGCAAATGGTCAAGCAGCTGATGGATGAGCTCCTTCATCGATCCACGCAATCGCCTGCCTACTATCCTCCACCCCATAATCCTGTTAAGCGCGTGCAGTTGGCACCGGAAGCACCACCACCACCAAAGATGGCGCCAAACCCAAGTCCGACACCGTCAGGCACAAGTCGCATCAGCATTGCCAACATTATATGAAGCAAAAGGCTCCCTACAGACTATAGATAGCTCATCGCCGGCCTGTACGGATATTCGTTGAAACAAGCACTCCGGCCAGCATTCAACTGGAGTAGTCCTTTGGACTCGAATACCTGCATTGGGTACTACGACCACCGCATGTAAACTATTCGGAGCAACACATTCGCTAACTCCAAAGCGCTGTACATTCGTTGTGCACATTCAAACCCCCGGGTCGTCCTGCCGCCCGCAAATTGAAGCTGAAGCAAGTACACCTCCCGAGCCAGTTTTCGACAATTGCTCGAGCATAACAAGCATTGCTCTCTTGGCCAAGACGGGTTGACGCTGCTATGGTTCCACGCTTGCGCTTGTAATTCAGCTCTCATTCGGTGCGTACATGATTCGCTTCAGCAACCACGCATGGTCAAGGCGTTGAGATGTCTTGGCTATTTGATACCGATTGTCGCAATGCTCTGCGTATAAAACGATACTCAAATATACTTCCGTGCTTGCAGTCCAACGCTGCTTGCCTCCGTAATATATGTTGCACTGCAGTCCCCAATGCCGTGACAGTGCTCAATTGACTCAGCACTAGTGGAAATACTCACCTATTGGAATGCTTGGGAATCTCACTTGCGCACACCTAGGTTCGCGCCGCGACTTACCCGCAGCCTTGTCTTCCAGCGGCACATAAGAGCCATCCAATCAGTACCTAGCCATATACTCGGACGCTACCAGTGTTAGGGTTGGAAGCGAACCTGCGACCGAACTCTGCTGACACCGTGCCTGTTGTGCGACGACCTTGCTGCAATAACGTTCTCGTCAGCTACGCATAAATCGCCATGGCTTAGCTGATACCTACCACCAGCGCATATCTTCTCAGCCCCGAAGGTTGTGAAATGTCATTGCGGAGCAGAACCCGACACTCGCCCGGGCAGATCGTACCTGGCACTACCCCGCCGATAGTCCATCTCGAAAGGCGTTAGCTCGTCGCCGAAAGCAGGAAGGCATGTGCAGGGCGGTGTGAGGAAACAGGGCCACTAGCCAGACAAGCTTCACGGGCCAAATGCTTAGCGAACGGCCTGTACCCCGCTATGACATGTTGTCTCTCTCGAATGAGCACCTTGGGCGCGACATCGTGCGTCTGTTTACTTGGATTGTTCCCAGTTCAAACGCCTCATGTAGAGTAAATGGCTACGGAGACGCGCTAGGCGGTCTGGATGATGAATCGACGTACGCGTCGTGTAGCGTCGGCCTGCAGCAGGTGGCCCCCAACGTATGTCGTATGCAAGTCGTGGTGGGGTAGCAGAGTGAGCTGGAACGCGGGCGGCGTGTTGATGCTGCATGATAGGCGCGACAGGAGCTGGTGAGCGATATAAGCTGCTGATTCTGCGGCAGCTCCGGTTGTTCTTACCTAGGCTGCCTTGTTTACTTCCTTGACGTGGCTTCCTGCTTCTCTTCTTCCTCCATCTTTCCTCGCACCTGCACCTCGATCATAGAAGGCAGGCACGATTGGCTCTTCCAGACCCCCCCACAAACACACCCTACGACCGCCAACATGGTGCACATCAACCGTGTAGCAACTCACAAGGAAGTCTCCGAGGAGCAGAGCCAATTCGAGGCCATTGATGCCACCACTACCATCAATCTGACACCAGACGATGAAGCCGACGACTACACTGCTACCGTCTACGGTTCCAAATATGCTGCTGAAGATCTGCCAAGACACGAGATGCCGGTGAGCCCAGCCCTTTTGAGTAGCTATACCCGGAATTGACACGATCTAGGACCGAGAAATGCCTCCCCATGTGTACGTACTTTGCTACATGCACTATTGGCATCGAACACACCAGACTATGCGCCGCACCACAGCTGCGACAGCATCGCTGACGATATGCTAGTGCATACCGCATGATCAAGGACGATCTCACGCTCGACGGCACCCCGACGCTGAACTTGGCTTCATTCGTTACAACGTACATGGTAAGCTCTAATGATCATTCATCGGATGGACAAGGACTGACACATGAGCAGGAAGAAGAGGCCGAGAAGCTTATGGTGTATGTCGGACAAGCTCGCGTTTCGTAACCTCCCAATAACCCTTTACCTCAGCGACGCGTTCTCGAAGAACTTCATCGATTACGAAGAGTACCCCGTCAGCGCCGATATCCAAAACCGTTCGTACATACACTACAAAATGGGCTGAGGAATGTTTGCTGAGTTGTGACCAGGATGTGTGTCGATGATCGCCAGGCTGTTCAATGCGCCGGCAGATCCAGAGGCGAACACAATCGGCACCTCTACCATTGGGTCTTCTGAAGCCATCATGGTCAGTAAATACAGTGGTATGAAGCTGGAAGCCTTTGAGCTGACACATCATAGTTGGGTGTACTGGCCCAGAAAAAGCTTTGGCAAAACAAGCGCAAGGCTGAGGGCAAGCCCTACGACAAGCCAAACATGATCATGAACTCGGCTGTACAGGTCTGCTGGGAGGTATGTAGCCTCTTGTCGAGCCAGTTCGGGCAAATGAGAGGGAAAAGCATACTAATTGTATGCAGAAAGCATGCCGATACTTTGATATCGAAGAGCGATACGTATACTGCACTACTGAGCGCTATGTGATGGACCCCAAGGAATGCATTGATCTCATCGATGAGAACACCATTGGAATTTGTACGTATTACAGCATCTATAAGACGAAAATGAGCTGATTCTGATAGGCGCAATCCTGGGAACGACCTACACTGGCGAATACGAAGATATCAAAGCCATCAACGACCTTCTCGTCGAGAAGGATATCGATGTTGATATTCACGTCGACGCTGCGTCCGGTGGGTTCGTCGCTCCGTTCGTCAATCCAGGTCTACTATGGGATTTCCGCCTACCAAAGGTCACGACCATCAACGTCTCTGGTCACAAGTACGGACTTGTATACCCCGGTGTCGGCTGGGTCGTGTGGCGCGACCCCAAGTACCTTCCCCAGGAGCTCGTCTTTAACATCAACTACCTCGGTGCTGACCAGGCGTCTTTCACGCTGAACTTCTCGCGCGGAGCTTCGCAGATCATCGGACAGTACTACCAGCTCATTCGTCTTGGCAAGCGAGGATACAGGAAGATCATGCTGAACCTGACGCGTACGGCCGACTATCTCGCCGCGAACCTTGAGGCATTGGGCTTTATCATCATGAGTCAAAGGGGAGGCGCTGGACTTCCTCTGGTTGCTTGCCGCATTGATGAAGATCTTGGCAAGCAGTACGATGAGTTCGCCATGTAAGTGTGCACCCCATTTTTTCTGCAACTGCAACTAACGAGAGCAGTGCTCATCAACTACGCGAGCGCGGATGGGTCGTTCCCGCATACACGATGGCCCCTCACTCCGAGAAGATGAAGATGCTGCGTGTGGTTGTGCGCGAGGACTTCACCAAGTCTCGTTGTGACGCACTGCTTGCCGACTTCAAGCTTGCGCTGTCGACGCTGGACAAGCTCGACGCGAAGAAGATCGAGGAGCACAGGCAGCATGCATTCGAAATGCGTCGTCGTTCGACCATTATCAGCCCCATCTTTAAGAAGAAGGCGACAGACCACTTCGACGAGGACCACAGTCTACAGGCAAAGACTGGAAAGACACATGCAGTCTGCTAAGCGTGAGCAATGTGCCGCCTATTGAGTTGTCGAGGTGAAGGAGTATATGGGTTTTATATACATAGATACCACGAATGAACAAGTCACTCTCATTGTTCTAAACAGACTGTACACGTTGTGATGATCGGGTAGCATGAATTTCATCCATCAAACTTACAGCATCGTTATTGCTTCAAAGAGTTTTGTTCACCAGCTGGGGCCACATGCAAGTCTCGCGAACCGTTCTTGATTGACGCATGGATGCAGAAGATAGGGGTCTAACCAAAGCACATGCCGAACTGAACTGCAGTGGATAAGATAACGAGCAAAACGCGGCAGATGGAATGAACGTGAACGAGGAACGAGGAACGGAAGGCGGGCGGAAGTCGCGACGCGTCACGCTAGCCTAGTCGGGCACACGCGTCACGGTGGACGATTTCCGGCAAAAAGGAAGGGGGGACCAGCACTGCAGACGGTAGGTTGGTCGTATATCGAGTAACTGTTGTGAACGCCCGAGACATAAATGTCGACAGATACTGTATCAAAAGGGACGGATGTTACAATACGCTGCGCTCTACATCACCAAGGAATGGCACAATCATGACAGAATGTGTACGTTGGTACCTTTGCGATTAAACAGTCCAGTGGCTGTTACTCTTCTTCACCATATCCAATGCTCGACATTTCCCATCGATCATTACCTCCTAAACACAGCCTAAGCCTTGGTCTCGGCGTTCTCAACCCTAACGGGGCTGTGCTCGAGACCCTTCTCGTTATCAACCTCGCCACGCTCAGCACGGCGAGTGTTGCTGTATTCGACCCTAGTCTTCCAAGCGGGAACTCCAGCCATGAACATCTCCTCAACATCCTCGAGCGTCTTTCCAGCCGTCTCGGGGAACAGGAAGAACGTGTGGATAGCCATGGCGAGGCAGAAGACACCGAAGATGATGTAGACGCGCCATTGGATGTTGACGAAAGCGGGTGGGACGAAGTAGGAGAGGGCGAAGTTAAAGATCCTGGAGCGGAGTTAGTATTTGATGATTTCAAGTATCATGAGCAGGTTTGTACATACCAGTTGGATGAGGTAGCGACGGCAACGGCCTTTCCGCGAATGCGGAGAGGGAAGATCTCTGGTGGGTAGACCCAAGACGCCGGGCCCCAGGTTGGCGCGTAAGAAGCGACGAACAGGTATGTGCAAGCAATGACAGCCTTTGCAGGCGCGCCCGTAATCTCCCAGGATTGCTCGGCAATACCACCAAGACCGCCTTCAGGAGCTGGGTTGCCGTAGCTTGCCATGAGTCCAGCGTTGGCGAACATCCAGATCATCATAAGGACTGCGCCGATGACGAACATAGGACGGCGACCCCAGCGGTCCATGAAAAGAAGAGCAGGAACTGTCA